CAAGGTCACAAAGAATCATGATCTATTGTTGAACTGATACAATATACTCTACCCTTGTCTCTACCCAACTCTCACCCAACAGTATAGTTTCATGCAGAAAATGTACGTGTGGTCTGCTTTAAAGCAACATATTTTAAAACATATTATTCTTTAAAAATCAATAATCCATATATAACAAAAGCAACTTTTTGTTTATACTATTTATTTTATTTTTGTTATTTTTGCCCAAATTCTAATGTTATAAAGAGATTTTCAAAAATTATAAGAATTATCACCAACACTTCTGAAATTAGCTAACATCTACATGTAGAAAAAGCATGAGGTCCTGTAACATAGAAAGGAAGGGGTATTGCCTGTGTGATTAGAAAAGTATCCTATTGTAAAATTTTTCATGGGAATCTGTGAAATCCAAGTCATTGGTTCCCATTTATGAGCTATGGACTCTTGGGAGACTTTGCAGTTTTGTCCAATGGTTATTGAATTTATAGCTATGTTCAACTTTCTTGATGAACCCAAAATTTATCTTCCACACACATTTATAAATATGTATGGATGCTGCAGTCATTCATAACATTAAAATTAACCTAAAATTCCTTGTTGAATTCTTAGTAATATTTGCCATTGTATGAGCTCCCAATCAAGAGACTTGAAAGCATACATATTTCATGTAGATTTCAACTATATTTTTATTTTGAAATTAATCTTCATACCTAAAACTGCTGACTTAGGCATATTTAAAACTACTGACCTTGAAAGTGCTACTAAGATATTAGACAGTGCCCATGTTTCTGTTACTTAATTTATGAGTCAGAGCAGTGTTAAAAGTTAGAGGGATGAAACCAGCAATGGGTGTGGAGGGTAGTTTATCAGATACCTGAGATGTGCCAAGTATTCTTATACAGCAATGGTAGAATACAGGTTTATTGTTCTCTCACTCCCCTGGGAGGGGTCTCTTTGGTCAGATGAAGAAAAAGGATAAAAAATGTTCCTAGTCTAATAATACATATACATTCTGAAGAAGGCTGTCAGTATTAACACGAGAAATACTTGTTTTCTGCTATGGGAAATCACACTCTGAACTTGCTAAGGCTGATTCAGTGATGTATAGGATATGGAGGCCCTGCTCCTTGTCCCTCTGAACTGATGTCGAGAGCTTGGATCCTGGAGGTAATGCTAGCGGAAGGTGGGAGCAAAACATTGTGCAGAGAACTTGGAGAGAGAGAAAGATTAGGAAGGAATAAAGACTCACAAATTTTCATGTGAGATTGAATTTAATGAACTGAGAGGTAAATTGATTGAAAATGTAAAGAAATATTTGCATCAACATCTGGACTCCAAGATTTTATTATCATCCAGTAGCATTGTGGTAGGTAATATTTTTGAAATGTTAACTTATGTTTCCTCTCCCTTTCAAGCAGATAGTGGTCTATACACATTGCCACAAGGAAGAAATACAGAGCAGAAAGCACATTTATTTTAAGCCTCTTTCTGGATTATGTGTTCAAAAGTTCTTGGGCTTTAAGGTAATATATGGACACAACTATTTGCAATGAACAAGCACCTGGGAACCAAAAATGTAAGGAAAATGGATCTTCCCTTGGAGATTTAAAAATAATTTCCCAGTTAAAAAAATACATAGAATGTAACTGCTGAGATTAGAGATGTGAGTCGGTCCCAAAGAGGTGTGCTATTGGTTATTAGTGCTGCTTATCCAATATGTCTGCTTAACCTGCACCCCTACATTAGGAAACATAGTAGGATTGTATTTCTTAGTCTTCTTGAGATTGGATGTGGCCACATGACTCACACTGACAAATACAATGTGAGTGGGAGTGATATGTGTAACTTTAAGAGCCGTGGTGTGACTTGTCACTTTCCCTTTCTACTGGTGTGGTTATTGTGGAAGCACATGGTGAGATGAAGCCTCCATGAGTCTGGGTCTCTGAGTGAAAGGAGCAGAGCTTCTGTGTAGGAAAAAGCCTATGTAGGAAAAGCTGTAGAGCAGCCTATGTAGGAAAAAGCATGATTGAGAATCTGATTTCTTTTATATTAAGCCATTGAGATTTGGCTGTGTGTGTGTATGTGTGTGTGTGTGGTTAGTCTTAACTGGTCTTAAAAATAGGGCTCTAATGTTGCTGTCAAAAATCTAGTTGGTGCCAGGTGCAGTGGCTCATGCCTGTAATCCCAGCACTTTGGGAGGCCGAGGTGGGGAGATCACCTGAGGTCAGGAATTCAAGACCAGCCTGACCAACATGAAGGAACCCCATCTCTACTAAAAACACAAAATAAGCCGGGCGTGGTGGCGCATGCCTGTAGTCTCAGCTACTCGTGAGGCTGAGGCAGGAGAATAGCTTGAACCTGGGAAGCAGAGGTTGCAGTGAGCCAAGATCGTGCCATTGCACTCCAGCCTGGGCAACAAGAGCAAACTTTGTCTCAAATAAATAAATAAATAAATAAATAAATAAAAGTCTAGTTGGTAAAGTGCTGTCTCTGAGGTCAGATTTCCTGAGTTTGAATGCCAGCTCTGCAACTTCACTAGTTGTGTGGTTGTGGGCAAGTTATTCACCTTTTTGTACTTCAGTTTCCTCATATATAAGACAGAAATAGTAATAATACTCTGCACAGTGTTGTTGAGGATTAAATAAGTTAATATTTGTAAAATGTTAAGAACAGTTTGTGGCATTTAGGGAGTGTAAATGTTAGTGTTCTCTTTCTCTCTCTCTCTTCCTCCCTTCTTCTCATGTCGGATCTTCCCTAATAGACAATCTATGATAAAGAAATGACCAAAATATTAACATCTAAAAATTAAAATGAGTTTAATTCATTTGAAGTTTTAAAAAGTGTCAAAAGTAAGCCTTAATGATGATAATAGAATACCTCCTGTTACAGATTGAATTACCAAAATTCATATGCTAAAATCAACTCTCCAGTGTTATAGTATTTGGACATGGGTCCTTTGGGAGATAATTTGGTTATGGGGGTGGAGCCCTCAGGAATGGGATTAGTACACTTATATACAAATCTCCAAGGAGCTAGCTCATTGTTTTTCTGCTACACAAGGATACAATGAGAAGTCAGTCATCCGTAGTCCAGAAGAGGATCATCACTAGAACTTGACCATGCTGGTACCCTGATCTCAGACTTCCAGCCTCCAGAACTGTGAGGTTTAAATGTCTATTGTTTACAAGCCATCTACTCTATGGTGTATTTGTTATAGCAGCCCAAACTGACTAAGACATCTCCTTCAATCACAATGGCATTTGCTACAGTTATGTCTGTGCTCTTGTGAGGCAACTAGGTATTTAATATCCAAATAACTAATTTCATGCAAGAAATCTCCTCCTTCAATCATGGCCTTCCCTTCTCCTCTTTCTCAATGCAGGGCCCACCAAATATCCAAGAAGAGAGGTAATTAACCTCTGAACTTAGTTTCATTTACTTACCACTAGGGAATCTAAAATTCTGTTTAAGTCATCTGGATGAGTTCTGCAGATTTTTTTTTTTTATTTTAAATACTATTTTTATTGTATTTAGAAGCAAAATTGCCTTACCTGAGCTAGTTTCAAAAGAAGTTCTTTGTTGTATTGCTCTAGCAGGTGTTAAATATTCAAGAACCCATGAATATATACTGGGTTTGTCATTTTTAATCTCTTAAAAATGTTATTCACCAAAAGCATAATAATAAATACCAATACACTTAGGCTTAGAATACAGTTATAATAGAATTACAGAGACTCTCATATGTGCCATTGCTCCAAAAGGGCCGAGTTAGCCAGTTGCAAGAACTTTCTTTTTTTTTTTTTTTAAATTTATTTATTATTATTATACTTTAAGTTGTAGGGTACATGTGCATAACGTGCAGGTTTGTAACATATGTATACTTGTGCCATGTTGGTGTGCTGCACCCATCAACTCGTCATTTACATCAGGTATAACTCCCAATGCAATCCCTCCCCTCTCCCCCCTCCCCATGATAGGCCCCGGTGTGTGATGTTCCCCTTCCCGAGTCCAAGTGATCTCATTGTTCAGTTCCCACCTATGAGTGAGAACATGCGGTTTTGGTTTTCTGTTCTTGTGATAGTTTGCTAAGAATGATGGTTTCCAGCTGCATCCATGTCCCTACAAAGGACACAAACTCATCCTTTTTTATGGCTTCATAGTATTCCATGGTGTATATGTGCCCCATTTTCTTAATCCAATCTGTCACTGATGGACATTTGGGTTGATTCCAAGTCTTTGCTATTGTGAATAGTGCTGCAATAAACATACGTGTGCATGTGTCTTTATAGCAGCATAATTTATAATCCTTTGGGTATATCCCCAGTAATGGGATGGCTGGGTCATATGGTACATCTAGTTCTAGATCCTTGAGGAATCACCATACTGTTTTCCATAATGGTTGAACTAGTTTACGATCCCACCAACAGTGTAAAAGTGTTCCTATTTCTCCACATCCTCTCCAGCACCTGTTGTTTCCTGACTTTTGAATGATCGCCATTCTAACTGGTGTGAGATGGTATCTCATTGTGGTTTTGATTTGCATGTCTCTGATGGCCAGTGATGATGAGCATTTTTTCATGTGTCTGTTGGCTGTATGAATGTCTTCTTTTGAGAAATGTCTGTTCATATCCTTTGCCCACTTTTGGATGGGGTTGTTTGCTTTTTTCTTGTAAATTTGTTTGAGTTCTTTGTAGGTTCTAGATATTAGCCCTTTGTCAGATGAGTAGATTGCAAAAATTTTCTCCCATTCTGTAGGTTGCCTGTTCACTCTGATGGTAGTTTCTTTTGCTGTGCAGAAGCTCTTTAGTTTAATGAGATCCCATTTGTCAATTTTGGCTTTTGCTGCTGTTGCTTTTGGTGTTTTAGACATGAAGTCTTTGCCCATGCCTATGTCCTGAATGGTACTACCTAGGTTTTCCTCTAGGATTTTTATGGTATTAGGTCTAACATTTAAGTCTCTAATCCATCTTGAATTAATTTTTGTATAAGGAGTAAGGAAAGGATCCAGTCAGCTGTGAGCCCTCTTTGATGGTGACAGAACAGGCGATGACAGGCCTGGAGACCCCACAGGCTCTTCCCAGGGCCTGCTTGGAGCGCACAGACACGTAGGGCACGTTCTTGTCTTCACAGAGCAGTGGGAGGTGCAGAATGATCTCCAGTGACTCAGCGTCTGCAGCCATCACGATGAACTCAGAGATGCCCCTGTTGAGGGTTTTGGTGGCCTCATTGGCTCCTTTCCGAAGCTGCTTATAGTTACATGACTGCTGAACGAGATCCAGTAGTTTCTTGGTGAGGTGGGCATCGGCAAGGGGATAGGCCTTTGGATTCACATCGGCCTCAGTCATGGCTGCTGTTCTGCGGGCTCGGCACTCCTAGGAGAGCACAGCCGACTTCTGAGCCGAGTTCTGCAGATTTTTAAGAAACTTTTGAATTTATTCCCTTTATTCTAAAGAGGGAAACCTCCCTGGAACACTTAACCATGGTCAGAACTTATTCTCTTTTGAGTGGCTGCTCCCCAAACCTCTCTGAAGCTGCTGTTAGAGTTGGTTGGGTTATATTTCCAATGATGCAAGTTCTGTGCCAGACCATTAAGCTTTTGAGGCTCAGGGAAAACCACAAAGGATTGCCAATGTCAGTACTGAGGAAGAAACAAGCTTTGAAATATAGGAGAGGATAAAAAGTAAAGCTTCTGCAGGTATGTCATTCCCAACCAGATAAAAATACATCAGAGTGAACAATAAAGCCGGTTTTGCAAAGCTGTTGCCCATGTAGTGGGAAAGTTGGTGGGTGGAGGGGGTGTGGGCAGAGAAAGAGGGATAAAAATCAATCCTGACACATTGAAACCAAAAACCTGCTGCTTAATTGTAGTATTGCCACAAAAATTCTTCCGAGCCCACAGAGGTGACTAAAAGAAACAGAGTGATGAAAATGAACAGGTAAGCATTTTGTAGGACCCTGGGTATCAGGAGCCTGTTCTCTGTTTAGAAAATGCCTCAAACTCTCTGTTCTAAGTCAAGGTTTCATCTTTATGGACCATCAAAAGATCACGAATTTCAGTTTTTCCTCCAGGATGCTGACGAGAGCATTCAGCCAAAAATAAGGTCACTGGTTAAGTGTTTCAGGGTTTATTAGATTTTTAAGGTTGTTTTCCAGGGATATTTATAAGATAAATGTAATTTTCAAAAAAAAATATGTTGTGAATTGATAGCAATTATTTCTGGTCTCAGATCTTTATTAAGGCAAAAGTATTGCAGCGACATAGAAGTTTGAGACCCAAACTTGTTTCACATAAAAATGCCAACCACAGTGTTCCATAGAAAGACCTGGAGTTTTTAGTGCTTTTAGTTTTGTGGTTTCCTGATTTACAATGGGACATTGTGCATAAATACGCAGCATCCTACTTTCTTGATGAAAACAGCCTTTTCTGTTTTATTGGTCTGCATACATTGTGCTGAATTTCTCTACATGGGACAAAATTTATGTTGATAGCTGATCCAAGGAACAATAACTTGAAAGGGTTTCTCCAAATGTAGCAGAAGTATTGCTTTAATCATAGTTCCTGGTAGCTGAGCTGAGTAGATAAAATCATAAGCCAACAATATATTAATGACAATAATGTGAATGCCTAGAAAAAATAAATCAGTTTAGGAAATTATACATCGCAGAGAACACTATCCATTTTTCATGAGTTTCTACATAGAATTTATATTTACCTTCACTCAAGAGATCTGTCATAGTTCAAAATGTCTTCAAAAAAATACTTTAGGAATATACCTACAATCTTTTCCATAGTTTCCCCTTTGCTTTCTAAGCATGTTAGACATGTTTTAGGCAAGTTTTGTGAAAACAACATTTATAACTCGGTTTTGTCCTATTCCATATTTCACCTCAATTCTTGTTAAAACTCCTTCAGGGAAGATATGGCTCAAACCTTTTGGTAAAAGCTTTATGTCACACTTCCTTTCATCTTTCTTTCCTTCTTTATTCTGTTTTTATTTTTTCTCCACTTTCTTCTTCCTTCTCCACTTTCTTCTTCTTTAATGTTTCTATTGAATACCCTCTAATACAATAGTATTCCAAGCTGAGAAGGTTTCATCACTTGAAGTCTCAGTATTGACTTGTAATCTAGCATCATTGATATTGAGACTATTAAAAATAGATTTATTCATCAAACAAAATGTATTGGCATGATCTGCAGGCAAGTCTCTGAGGTCAGCAGTGCTGGAAAACATAGAGCACATTTCCTGCATCCGCAGAATTGACAGATAAGTAGGTTGTAAAGGCAGGATAGTGGGAGAGACAGTAAGGTATATTGGTGAAATTTTTAAAAATCACTTTCTTTCTCTTTTCTAAAGCATTCTCTTGCCTCACCCACACACACAGGGAAAGAGCAGTCCTAAAGGACTTCATTTTTTTCTTGCTTGAAATGTCTTTGTAAACAGAAATTATCTTTCAATAAGTGTGAGTGTATATTAAAATCATTCTATTCATAATCCATTGGAAATTTAAAATATAATTTTCTAAACCACTTAAAGAGAAATTTTGAAAATCAGATACGCAATTATATGAAAACAGTGTTTGGATGGAAACATCACCATGAAGGACTAGTGTGCGTGAATGTGACATTTCTCATTTGACCAGAGTTTTGACTATAGCAGCTGTAAGTTAAGTCTATGTTGTGCAACCAGAGCAATAGTTTAAAAACTAGTTGGATTTCATGCTTCTTCTAGTGCATTTATTGAGAAATTGACCTGTTAAGAGGGCTAAAGTGGCTATGTGGTTGATATAAATCAGCTTAAGGCACACAGTGAAACTTGAGCACACCGCCCTTACCTCTGACCCCACATAATGTTGACTCCACTTCCAAGTTCCCTTTAGTTTTTTGAGGTTGTTGGTACTTTTCATGTTACCTTGTGCTGGTGAAGAGAGATTTTTCTGAACCAACTCATATTCAACATAATATTCTTTTCAGATGCATCATAAACCCTATTTTTTTTCTAAAACTAAATTCTTCATCCTAGCTTTCAAGGTTTTGTTGCAACTATCTGTGGTAGATATCTGGAGAGAGAGTTTGGCACTCGGCATTCATTCTTATGCCTTTTTCTGCCTTATCCTGTGGGCCAGTGCTACAAGCCTGGGAACTATATTTGCCAGACAACTTTTTCTTTAGTGTTCTGAATGTGTTGGCCTTTTTCCCAGCAGATATAATTAGGCAAGATATGGAAAGAAGTAGGAAGATGGAAGCCATTTTATTTTTACTGTGACAGTGGATTGTGGGCTTCACAGAGATAAGTTTTGTAATGATTTATTTTTATTTGCCATTCACCTAACACAAGTATGTGAAGGAACTTTGAAATTGTTATTAATTTTCTGCAAGTTTTTAACCTCTAGATTTCAGTTTCTGACACTGTCTAGGCCTTTCTATAGTTTATAAGCTTTTATTCCCTGTATTATATCCTTTCCTGTTTTAAATACATAAAATGGCTTCAGTTTTTCTAACTGAATGCTGACTATGTAATATAAACCCTCCTCTAATAAAGATTTATCAAACAAAAAGCAGAACATGAACTGACACCATGCTTTTGTCCATTTCCTATCTTTCCCTTTGTTTTACCTATTCCAATCCATCTAGGTCTGCCTCCATGCAATATTTCCTGCTCCTGAGTCCCCACTATGGCCACAATTTTTAACTTTTTCAGTGGTACCAGCTTATAGTAAACAATTTCTCAGTTTCAATTTTAATCCTGTTTTGTACTGCTATTTTAAAATCCTGTTTGTCTCTTTAGTATCTCCCATTAAATTGTAAGCTCTATGAGACCTGGTCTATTATTTTAGTTTTCTTTAGGCTTGTTTCCAGAGGCAACACAGTATGAGATGCAAAATGGAGGTACTGAAAGCCAAACAAACACAATTTGTAGTTTTGTTTTGTGGTTATAAAAATTATATACGTTATTATACAACACTTGCAAAGTACAGACATATATAAAGAAGATAGAAAATATTCTTAATTTTCTAATTCAGAAATTATCACTATTAACGGTACATTTTATTCATAAATATTTAAATATAATTTGAACTACATTAGATATAGGAGTCATGTTTTGTGTATTTTTTCTGCAAACATTATAAAACAAATATTTGCCATCACTAAAAATTTCACATGAACATTGAGATGAGTTTATAGCACTTGATTATACAAATGCACATCATTTACTTAACTATTTTTCTACTGCTGAATTTTGGGTTGTTTTACATTTTTTACTATAAGTAATGCAGCAGTAAAAATCATTGCACATAAATCTTGTTAGCATCATAAAAAGTTCTCAGCATATTGTTTTTTAATATTAAAGATACTTAGAGATTTTGTATTTAAAACAAGTAGTATTGTAAGCAATTAGCAAAGAGCTATGAGAATATGGAAGGGAAAGCAAAGAAATTTTTATGAGGTGGCTTTCCTCAGATAGTAATTTAGTGAATAAATAAATAAATAAATAAATAATAAATGTATTAGCCTGTTCTCACACTGCTATGAAGGAATACCTGACTGGGTAATTTATTAATATAAAGGAAAGAGGTTTAATTGACTCACAGTTCCTCATTGCTGGGGAGGTCTCAGGAAACTTACAATCATGGTGGAAGACAAAGAAGCAGGCACCTTCTTCACAGGGCAGCAGAATGGCATGAGTGCAAGCAGGGGAATTGCCAGATGCTTATAAAACCATCAAATTTCATGAGACTATCACAAGAACAGCACGGGGGAAACTGCCCCCATGATCCGATTACCTCTACCTGGTCCCACCCTTGACATATGGAGATTATGGGGATTACAATTAAAGATGAGATTTTGGGTAGGGACACAACCAAACCATATGAATGGTTGAATGAATTAGAGAAATAGTCCTTGCATTAGGCCATTCTCACATTGCTATAAAGTAATATCCAAGACTGGGTTATTTATAAAGAAAATAGGTTAAATTGGCTCATGGTTCTGCCGGCTGTATGGAAAGCATGATGGTGGCATCCACTCAGCTTCTGGGGAGGCCTCAGAAAACTTACAATCATGGTGGAATGCCAAGGAGGAGCAGGCACATCACATGGCAAAAGCAGGAGCAAGAGCAGGAGGAGTAGGGGAAGTGCCACACACTTTTAAACAACGAGATTTCATGAGAACTGACTCAATATCACAAGAACGCCACCAAAAGGATGGTGCAAAACCATTCATGAAAAATCCACCCTCATGATCCAATCACTTCCCACCGGGCCTCCAACTCCAACATTGGGAACTACATTTCAACATGAGATTGGGATGGGATCACATATCCAAACTATTATTAGTCCTCTTGCAAATTCAGTTCACCTACAGCACATAAGTAAAATTGTTGAATGTTGTATT